TTTGAAGCCTTCTTCAATGAAATAGTTAAATAAATAAAATAGCCTCTCTTGTATGAGAAAATTTCAAACGTTTTTTTTTTTTTTTAATCTGCCTTCATTTTTAGAATTGACAACAAAAGACAAGGGCTGCAAAAGGTTGCATTGGATACAGAGAGCAGGGAGAGAGAGTTACTTGATTGAAATCCTTTTCCAGGGACTGGTAGCCTGTTCTATTTTCAGATATTTATAAATTCATAGGCAAGAAACCAGCCATTCATTGGGTTGTGCCTGAGGCAGAGGCAAAACAGATCCTCAGTGTGGACTGGCGATGGATAAATCACTTAACTACACCTAGCAAGTCACCTAGACACCCTGGGCTTCCATAGAACCACTTGTAGGTTAACGTTCAAGGTTGTTATCAGGTGGTAACATTTTTGCAAAGAGCAAAGACAACATGAAGAAAATGGACTTTAACTTCTGTCTTTCTGCAATGTCCTTCTCTTGAGTTTTTATCTCCATGGATTGGAATGGATTCAACCTATCGTGACATACATTCCACCTATGATGATATATGGTGGTTTTTCTCTGAAGAGTATTAAAACAATAAAGGGATATTCCTGGGCAAAAAAAATGAGCCCAAGTCATTCATATTTTAAAACTTACACACAAATGCACTCGGATATGTATTCCCTCAACAAATAGCTTTGGAAACCGTACAGATAAAGAAACTAATAAGATTACATTAGTTTTAGATTATACACTTAATGTCCCCACCTCTGTCAATGTGTCTGTGTGTTGCTGAAGTCACAATCAGCATGTGCATAGCATGAATCATTCTGCTTTTTAAAAAGTTATTATTTGAAAGGCTAAATATCATAGAAAAACATGAGCTTTGGAGTTAGAATTGGATTTAAAAGCCAGGAGTCTCTTATAAGATTCATGACACTTGTCAAACCTCTTAACCTCCATAAAACTTAATTTCCCTGTTTGTCAAATAAATGCTAATAATAGCATCTATTCTACAGAATTATTTATATGATTAAGTGAGATAATACTTATAAAATACTTAGCACAGCATCTGGTTCATGACGAGGTGCGAATAAATGTTTCTGTTATTAGTATCTTATATATACACATTGATATCTTTACTTTCGTGGTTTCATAGTATTGTAGAAAATTAATAAACAATGTATTCTTTTTCTTAACTGCTAGGAATTTGGGTTAAGTTTATTTGGGGATGTGTGTCTCACAGCTATAAATATCTACACATTAAATATTGTTTCCTGCTATTTTCTTGAGAAACATTTAAGCTAGAAACAAGATGAAATGGGAGGTTTTTATGGACCTTCTTGCATGTGCCAGGCTCCTCTCCAGAGGAAAGTAAACCAATTTGCAGATAGCTGCATGATACTGTTAAATCTCTCTCCTCCTAGAGGCTCTACCATTGGGTTTTCATTATTTTACTTACTTGTTGTAGAAAATCAGCATAAAATCGTACCAAAACTATTTAAATTTGCCTTTAACTACTATGAATGGGATTAGGTATATGTAGGCAATTTCTGTACCTTCCTCTCCATGTTACTGTGAACCTAAAATTGCTCTGAAAAAAATTAAGTCTATTAAGATAAAAAAAAAAAGTGTTTACGAAGCTTTTACAAAGAACTCTGATAACTGTAGTTAAGGGGATTATACATCTGTTTATTCATAGGCGAAAAATAATTTCATGTTGACAATGGTTCTCAACAGGTGGCTGGATTACGGGTGAACCCTAAAGACAGGGATGGGGTGATTTTTTGTGTGTTTTCCACATTATATTTTCTCATTCAGAAAGACAAAGGCATATTTTTTAAAAAGAAAAATCAAGTATCCTTTTAATTATTAAAAACACATTTTATAAAGTCTATGAAAGGTTTTAGTGTGTGTGTTGTGTTGCCTTACCAAACAAAGAGACGACCAAATTATCTGGGTGCTTAAGACGAAGCCCTGGTTAAAGGAATGGAACTCAGGAGCAGCAGCAAGATACTGAGCTATTGCAAAGTCCCACCTCGAAACTCTGAACTTCCTCTTGCTCTTAATGGAGGGACAATCGGAGATGGGGGCTCGCCTGAGAAGAGCTAGAGGCAATGAAGGGATACGGACCGAGATGAACGGTGGCTGACTCGGCAAAACTGTTAAATGACTTTGCAAAAGACCTGTCACAGTGGATAAACGGTGCCTCCTAAAGCAGCAGCTTAGAATTCCTGCAGAGCACACGCGGTTATTTCCAGGGACAAGACTGGGACGTGGGAGAAAGAGGAGGAAAGGAAAGACGATCAGAAGATGCCTGAATAGATCTGTAGAGTTTTTTTTTTTTTCTTTTTTCTTTTAAAGACATTTCATAAATGAGCAACTGGGAAGCAGAGAACGGTCAAAGAAAAACCGAAACAGAGCACGCACAAATTTCATAAATGAGCCACTGTGCCAACGGCCACCATTTCTGCTCTTTCTCGGGCTCACGAAAACGGCAAGTTGCTCTGTGGATGCTGATGACTCTCTCATTGCTTGTATGGTAAACAAAGCGCGGAACCTACTGTCAACACGCGGTGTGCAGGGAGGACAGCCTCACTTCGTCTTCCCAGCGGATCACTCCCGGGAGGCATCACTCTGTGGGGCCTCCGCGACTCAAAAGACCACGTCCCCGCATTTCTTTAAGTCGGACTTTGAGGTCAAAGCCCCGTCCCCCTTTTTTCCTTTCATATTTCCTTCTGCTCAAAGAATGTTTCGGAAGTAGATATAACTGTCATACAGAATGTTGGCACCAAAGCCAAGAAAGAGGCAGGAGATAAAAAGGTCGGCAGATGTCTCTTAAAATGAAGCACGTGGAGAGTCACGCTGACGAACACGGTTTACACGCTATGCACAGTAAGCAGCCCATTGCTAACAGAATTCCCAGGATTCACTCTGCTGGTCCTTATATCTCATGATACAGCCCTATTCATCAGGAGCTCATTAAAAGGTACACAAACAACCTTTTGCTGGTTTCAGACTAATAGATCTCATTTGATCAAGTTCCCATCTGCCATCCTTTAACATACAACTTAGTGGCTGAAATAGTTTCTGGTTCAAGACATTTTTCCAAAGGATTTTCCTCTTCACCATGTAGTGTTTGGAAACTTTAGGCAGGAACCACCGTGTGTTTTGATCAACTGCCCCAATAAATAAGAAAATATGTTATGATACCAATGTTTGGGTGAAAGAGTTTTTTTTTTTTCCTGCTGCTCTCCCCCAAACTCCATGCCTCTCGAATTTAATTCACATCTATTCAAACACACGTACTAATCACATCCTCTGTGTAGGCATCTTGCCCTTCAGAGGCTATACCAGACTGAGAGCACATGGATCCAAGCTTCAGGATCCTTGGACCGGCGCCAGCTGAGAAATTAAGTCAGTTGTGTGGGACGGAAGGAAGGGCATGTAATTCTATATTCTTATGATAACCCGCATAGCAGCCATTGTGTTTGGAGCCTGACACTGAATTCTTTAGACTTGAATTAGAAAAGGCACTTCTTTGATAGATTTCTTCTTGTTCCAGTTTACAGGCAACTAATCCTTACTGCCTTGGATCAAAGAGACGGGGCACAATCCATTCAGGGTAGGTAAACGATGCCAGGTCTGCTCAATCTTCCCTCAATGAGCAGCAGAGGAGAGGTGGGGGAAAGAAAAAGAAAATCCAGGCACGCCTGTACCCCCAGATAGCTTAGCAAAGGCCACGATGAAAAGACAAGTGGAAATATGTAAACTGGCAGGGAGAAGAGCCGTCAGAGGGGTAGGCTGAAACACAGAGACACCAAACACGCCCCCAAGCCTTTGGGCGCTGAGGGGTGCTGAAGGGAGCAAGGGCAGAAGGAAGTGGTCTTCCTATCAAAACAAAAGAAATTGCAGGCAGCAACGCTAAGGAGGAAAGAGGTCTGCATTTACTTAAGTTCCCATAGTCTATGATCCACAGCACGGTGTGACGAGCAAGTTAATTACTGCGCTTAGGTAATTAAGTCTCAGAGAAACCAGCGCCTTCCAGAGCAGTATTAATGTACGCCGCTAGATCGTTCTAGGCATGACTGGCCATTTGGGGAGAAGTCACACTGAAACAACAGCCTAACAGTGGCGGGAGCAAAATTGATGAACATGAGCTAGAAATAAGCTGCTCTCAGTATTAACAGCTTTCTGCCTTTGCACTTGAGGTGCACGATGAGATTTTTTTCCTCGTTTACCAGGAGGCACTTCCTTCCCAAATAGTTCAATCATCCCCATCCATTCCCTCTCTCAAAACGTGCCCTATGTCCTGGCCTTGACTTCTCTGACTTTTCCTGATCCCCTCTTCTTCCCATTACAGCATCTCTTCTTACCCCCCGAATCTGTTTTGCTCAAGGCTGAAATATTTGTCCTCAGAAAAGACTGGATAATGTTTCTCCCTCTCACTTCTCAGAGCTCCGTCTTCCCCTGCCGTAGCTAAGTCAGCTTCTCCAGGCCCACGTGCTCATTACCTGTGGGTGGTTCCTATCACATTCCGAGAAGGCATGTTGCAATTTAAGAACAGGAAGATTAAAACATTTCTTGTCCCCACGTGCCTAGATATTGGCAGTGAGGTGTTTGTTTTTTTTTTTTTTACTAAGTAATGGCTCCAAAATCCTCGTACATATATAAACACGTAGCTACATATGCTTCTATCTGTGCATGTGTGTCATCAAGCTACATCTTCTGTACCACAAGCAAACTGTATTAAGAACACATTTATAAATGTATGTAGCTTTATATTTGCATTTTCGTGTACCCATATGCAGCAACGTCCTTGTCATCAGCGGGGAGTGACAACGTCCCAGATGTGGCTCTAGGAAAAACACCATTGCTCTTACCTTCCTTTGGTGACTCCTCCACGTTTTTCTTCTGATGAAGATCCCTGGGTCCCTTTGACTTTTGTGTTTGAGATATTCTCCCATGGAAACGCCAAAGCAAACATCACCCTCACACCCCTGCGAGCATCCTACCTTTGCAGGTGGTGGTCCAGAGCGTCTTCCTCGGCGTTCAGTAGGGCGGCCGCGCGGGTCCGGAGCTGCTGGCTGCAGCTGACGGATTTGAGCTCTAGGATGAGGAGGCCCAGGCAGAACATGGCTCCCATCTCCTCCAGCTCACGGGTACTGAACTGCAGACCCTGCCAAGCAAACGGAGCAGTCAGCTGACTCTGCTGAGTGGAGATAATTGCAGAATGGGAAGAAAGACTCCAGGATACACGCTCATCACACACACTGAGAACTGGTATTATTTATCGGTCCCTGTGTGGCGTGTTTTGTTGTGTGCTTTGTGGACTGATGGGTGTTGGTCTGCCTTACGTTGACCTCTAGAGTTTCCGGGAAGTACCCCCTAAGACACTCATGAGCAGGTAGGGCACTAACGCTCAGAGAGGCGAATGGAAATACAGAAATCACATTGCCCCCTTCAAAGCAGCTCTGCTGCTCTTGGTCTGTTTAAAAGGGTTTCGTTGCTGGAACTAAAGAATGTCAACAATCTTATTAAGAAATGTTTTTTCTCTTCTACAGATGTTTCAACAGATGGAGAAAAAAGAGGGCGGATCCTTTTATATATAGAGACTGAAACTTTAAAAAAATCCTGTTTCTTTAGAACCAGCTCTGTAGCTGGATCGAGATAATGCATGAAAGCAAAGCCATGACGTGCACTTTACACTATTACCCACAAGGTAACAGAGAACAAATTTACTGAGCAGGTACTATGTGCCAGATCCTGTTTTGAGCCCTTTTCGATGCATTAACTCAGTGAGCGCTTACTAAACCCCTGTGAGGTTGGTATTATCATCATCTCCACTCCTCAGAGGACATTTAGACCCATGGAACTAACACTTTATCTGGCATCTCACGGCTAGTAACAGAGACTAGTAAGTGATTGACTACTCAACAGAAAAGGCTATCCACAGGCTGGGGGGACTCTATCACAAAGTGAGGTAGAAAGTGCATAGCTTTTGAAAGTGGATGGGAAGTGGACTGTAATCCTGATTGCACTATTTTCCAACAGTGTCATCTTGGACTTAATGAACTCTCTTAGCCTTGATTTTCTCACCTGTAAAATGGGATGTACTTAGACATGTAGTTATAAGGACTACGTCCCAGTCCTCACAATATTGATTGACATTAACTCGGTTTCTCTTTCCTCCTTCATTGCAGTTTATTATGACAGAATTCAACGTGGTCCTGAGTGAGGTCTTTGTGTTTATAAAGTATATTTCACTTGGAAAAAGAAATCGATAGCCAAATATTATTATTTTTTTTTAAATACATTTTCACATCCAAATAATAATGACAGGACAGGGATGAGACAGTAATGATTTTAAAAGATTGTGCTCCTAACGATCCTAAGGAAAAACGAAGTTCCAAACTGGGCAGTTAGCCTCACAAAAGAATTTCTAGGTAAAAAAGATAAAGTGGAAAGTTCTCGAGTTTATTTCGGCTCTTTAAAATTTTTGATTTGCTGCACGTTTGGGCACCCGTTTTCCTAAAGAAAGGAGACATGGCTTCTGAGTCAAGGGAAGTCTGTTCCTCTGTAAAAGGCAGCAGTAGGAGGGGAAAGACAGATGTTTCACAAGTGATTTTTCTTAAGTCAGTAGAAAACATCACTTTTTAGAGAGAGGAACATCTCAGAGTCGCCTCCCTGTGCTAAAGCTCTAACATCTGATTCTCTTCCTGCATCCTGTTTTCCTGGCTGCTTCTCTTTGTTCTAGAATGTCTGGCTGGGTAAAAAGAAAGGAAGCGAAGGTTACACCCTCCTCCTCAACCAGCCACCTCGCTGCTGGTGACGGGGAGTAGACAAGGGAAGTATAAGAAAAGAGCCCCTCGAGGCAGGCAGCACCCCGGCATCCAGCAGAGTGCATAACAACAGCTCCAGAAAGGTCAAAAGAAGGATGAATCCTTAGGCTAAATAAATCTCATAGCAGGCACCATAATGATAGGTCAGGATTGATAGGTCTGGGCGATTCCTTCACACCAGTCAACTTCTATGCAGCAATGACCAAAACAACGGTAATTTGATAAAGCAAAAAATATTTTCATATCCAAGATATTGGCTTAATTATTTTAGGCGCTGGCTGGTATCATAAAAAGACTGGCCCAGAGACTTCAAGTAAAAGAAGTTGTACCACTTATCGGCTGTGGGGTCTAAGGCAAGTCACATAATCTATTTTGGCCTCTACTATTAATCTTTTTACTATTTTTTCCCTAACACAGCATCAAAAATATTTATCTGAATGGCTTCCTCGCACCTCCTACACCTAGCCTGAAGGTGAAATTCTTAAAGACTGAGCAGTACCTGTTTCTTTACATCTTTGGCATGGAGCACGCAGCCTGTCAAAAAGTATATCCTCAGTCTATGACAGATGGATACCTAGTGGCTAGAAATGGGTGGATATGGAGAGGCATGGATTGATTGTGTCTTGGATATTGTACTTGTCAAGTTGAACTTGACTTCTCTGGGTAGTGAATATATGAAAGTCTTTAAATTATGTTTCCATTGTTGAATGTCATGAACATTTTTAAAAATTTAATTTTTGCTCCAGGAGATGCATTCACATCTCTGTTTATGATCCGGGAAACAGGTAGATAAAATTTAGACATTTTGATCTCTACTCTGATCCGTTTTCATGGACTCACAGTAGCAAGTTTGTAAATAAAGCCGGCTTTGGGTTAGCTTAAACGTGAGTCTTAATAGAAATCTAACTCCCCTCAGCTTAATTAGAATTTTTTTTCCATAGTCAATCACAGAAAGCTTGACTATAGTGGCTTAAATGAAAAGGAGTTTTATGTTTTCACGCATAAGTTTTAGGGGTAGGGAGCTCATGGCATTATTTTAGTGCCTTACAATTCAGAACCACTCTAAGCAGCCATGCTCCTGGTTTTCTCATTGTGATTTCAAGGTGGATGCTGTTGCTCCACCCAGAACATCATTCGAGGAAAGAGAAAAAAAATTTGGGGGAAGGCAGCACCAGCATACTCCTGCTTACATTTTACTGGCCAGAACTGAATTATAGAGCCAACTTCAATTTTACAGTGGTCTGGAAACTGAATTTTCTCTCTCTTGTTTAAACTCTTTCAAAGAGACAGGTAAAAAATTGTTAGAAGTGAGTGTCGGGTGAGTCAACAAATCACGTCTGTCACACAAATATTCAAATATTAATGCTGCTAGAACGCATAGATCCATATCTATGTATCATATTGATAAGCAAGACCACTGGCACCATTATTTAAATAATTAATTATTTTTCTTGATAATTCACCCCCAAATAAGTCAAATTGACATGTGTATTTGGATCCAAAATTGGCTACTACCCTCATAATCACACAATTTTTAATCAGCGATAATGGGAAGAATATTTATGTTATTGCAGAAAATTACTTACTGGTAAAACAGACAGAGGGTCCACAAAAGTTTAAAAAGCATAAGCAATAATAATTCATGAGCAAAAAAGGAGAAACAATAAACATGGGAAAATATTCCATGTTATCATTTAAAGATGCCTCTTACATCCAGCAAATTGGTAGACATATATTCAAATTTATAATACTTAGTATAACTTTTATGATAAAAGCTGACACATATCAAAATGCAATGGCATTTGATGTGGTAATATCACTTTTGGGAACTTTACCTAAGGAACTGTTCAAACTGATAATATTACTTCTGGGAACTTACCTAAGAAACTGCTCAAAATGCCTTTCATGCTACGTGCATAAAATGTAATTATGTCAAGATTACACATAATTCTCAAAATTTGAAAGAAATAACCCTTAAATATCTAATAAAGGAGAAAAGATGGAGAAAATTACAATGGGATAAATTTGATGGGCTATCATGTAGCCATTAAAATAATTATAAAAACCATTTACCAATATGGGAAATACTTATAATTTAATGATAGGTAGGGAAAAAGCAAAATACAGAGCATGTATTAATGTAATTTCTGGTGATGATTTGCAAGGAAAGCAGAGGTAGTTACCCCAGACCCTCCAACACATACTTTTAAATGGTATTGCTATGATTTGCCAATAAAATATAAAACTTTGGACACGAGGAGGCTGCATAATTTTATCAAGAGAACATCCATGCACCAAAAACTTAAAACTACTACCTCCTAGAAGTTTTTAAAAAGCTAAACAGTCTGCCAATAAGAGAGAATTCCCTTTAGCAGTTTGCAACATCTGCTTTGATGTTCTGAAATACATTTAGATTTCTCTTTATTTTATGTGTAATTTATTGACCCTAAAGATTGGTATCTTTCGTCGCTTCTAAAAAATGTCACCCATTATCTCTTTGAATAGTGTCTATCCCCTAGTCCCTGTCAAGGATATCAAGGATGGGCCAAACACTCCTGTTAAACTAATTTCTTTTCAGTCTTCCATAGTTCTTTACTTTCATAGTTTTCATTTCTATCCTTGTAATTCTGATTTTTTTCCCTATCAATGCTCCATTCTAATAATTCTCTCTCCAGCTTTATTGAATCTGCTTTTAACTCATCCATCTCAACAACCATCTGTGAAACACGACAAAAGCACTTATTTTACAGTCCCTACCTGATTGTTCCTGCATATACCGTCTTCGTAGGCAATTACTCGGGTTAGATTTTTCTGTTTGATGTCAATTATGAGGGCTTGCTTATTTTCTAATGTTTTAAAATTCTATTTTTTTAAAATTTATTTAGTTTCAAATATCCAGTACATTGGTTAGACATCTATATAGTTCATAAAATGATCTCCCCAATTGCTCCCTCCCTCCCCTGACCCTCCACCTAGCCAACATAGAAATGCTGACTGCATTCCCTCTGCCCTGCTCCCCATCCCCGAGACCATCTATTAGCTACTAATTTGTATTTCTTTAACCCTTCGCTCCATTCTCCCATTCTCCCCAATCCCCCTCCCCTCTGTCCATCAAATTGTCCACTATATTTGTGAGTCTGTTTCTGATTAGTTTGTTCTTTTTTGTTCTAAATTTGAATTTTCTTGCATTCGAGGAAAGTCTTTATGGGTTGGGGGTGATGCTCCTTCTCCCAGAGAGAACTCGTATTTTCCTCCCACAGGTACTTGGGGACCCTTACTCAGCGACCACTATATGCTCAAGCTTTGCTCAAGGCTATTTGGGCCACTCTGTACATAT